ATCATGTCACTTGAGCACAGAAATGAGAAAAAAGAAACAAATTTCTGTATCCTTTAGCTTCAGTATGCATTTTTAAATGTAAATATGTGCTATGGCCTAAATTGACCCTAAATTATTTTCATTCTTACTTTGCCTAAGGTCATTTTATACTCATATGATATGCTATTTGTAATTTTTCTTTCCATTTAAAGTACATTAAATACATATGGAAGGATCATTTATAACAAAAAAACTTCACAAATTTTTAAATTGTTGGAAAATATTACATCTTCATTTAAGGCCCCCCCTTCATTTGAAAAAAAAACTCTATTTTCAGGCACAGGCTCATATAAATTTGACTTTTGAAAAATTGTAATAAATCTGATACATCAAATGAGTATTCTATTGCTTTAAATACATGTTATATGAAAAATTAGGGCATCTAAAAAGTAATTTGTTGCAATATTTAAATTTTTAAAGTCCCAAATGTTGATAGTGGAAATTCTTCAATTTTAACGTCAAAATTTAACATGCAAAGTTGAATATAAAAATGGTCATATTGTCTATAATATATATCCTATTGCCAAGAAACTTGGTCAACAATCTTATGATTTATTATGAACTCCAAGAATTCAATTTTTGTTAAAATCAAACTAAGTTTAATTGTGGACCCTTTGGACCTTAATGTAGACCAATTTGAAAACGGGACCAAAAATTAAGAATCTAAATACACGGTTAGATTCAGCATATCAAAGAACCCCAATATTTCAATTTTTGATGAAATCAAACCATATTATTATTATTTGCTTTTATATATATATCAAAAATAACCAACTTATAATGGAAAATTTTAAAATCAAAAAAAAGGAAAAAAAGGAAAAAAAAATCCCTCCCCTAATTTTTTAAACCCCCTTATGATTCATCTACCCCAAACTCAATCCCAGCCTTCCCTTTGTGGTATGGTACCTTGAAGTACAATTTTAGAGAGATCCATACACTTGAACACAAGTTACTGTCTGGAAACTGTAAAAATGCTTGTTTTTTGGCCCCTTTTTGGCCCCAAATTCCTAAACGTTTAGGGCAATTACCCCCAAACTCAAAACCCAGCTTTCCCTTTGTGATATGAAACCTTGTAGTACAATTTCATAAAGATCCATACACTTACACACAAGTTATTGTCCTGAAACTAGAAAAATGCTTCTTTTTTGCCCCTTTTTTGCCCCTAATTCCTAAAATTTTGAGGCAATTACCCCCAAAATCAATCCCAGCCTTCCCTTTGTTGTATGGTACCTTGCAGTACAATTTCAGAGAGATCCATACACTTGAACACAAGTTATTGTCTGGAAACTAGAAAAATGCTTATTTTTAGCCCCTTATTCCTAAACGTTTAAGGCAATTACCCCCAAACTCAAAAACAGCTTTCCCTTTGTGATATGGAACCTTGTAGTACAATTTCATAAAGATCCATACACTAACACAAGTTATTGTCCTGAAACTAGAAAAATGTTTGTTTTTTGCCCCTTTTTGGCCCCTAATTCCTAAAATTTTGAGGCAATTACCCCCAAAATCAATCCCAGCCTTCCCTTTGTGGTATGGTACCTTGCAGTACAATTTCAGAGAGATCCATACACTTGAACACAAGTTATTGTCTGGAAACTAGAAAAATGCTTATTTTTGGCCCCTTATTCCTAAACGTTTTGGGCAATTACCCCCAAACTCAATTCCAGCTTTCCCTTTGTGATATGGAACCTTGTAGTACAATTTCAGAAAGGTCCATACACTTACATACAAGTTATTGTCATGAAACTAGAAAAATGCTTGTTTTTTGCCCCTTTTTTTGCCCCTAATTCCTAAAATTTTGAGGCAATTACCCCCAAAATCAATCCCAGCATTCCTTTTGTGATATGGAACCTTGTGGTACAATGTCAGAGAGATCCATACACTAACACACAAGTTATTGTCTGGAAGTTACAAAAATGCTTATTTTTGGTCCCTTTTTGGCTTCTAATTCCTTAACTGTTGGTACCATAACCCCCAAAATCAATCCCAACCTTCCTTTTGTGGTATTGAACCTTATGGTAAAATTTCAAAGAGATTCATTAACTTAAACTAAAATTATTGTGCGAAAAACCAATGTATCTTCGGTCAACGACGACGAAGACGCCGACGTCATACCAATATACGACCGCACATGGTCAGTAAAGTGCAATTACTACAATAAGGGGTACCTTGCTAATATTTTTGCTATTTAAAAATTCTCTCTATCTATTATAGTATCTAAGATATAAGGCAAAAATGCAATTTTTTTTGGGACTATGTTTGACTTACTTGTAGATCTTAATTGTCTTGCTGATAATTTTTTTCATCTAAAGGTTCTCTACATCTATAACAGTTTTCAAGATTATAAGATAAAAAATGAAAAAAAAAAATGATTAAGTTCGTCATTTAAGGACAATAACTCCTATCAGAAGTCGTCCGACAGTTTATATGTAAATGGACAATAGGTAGATGTCATCAACTTGAACATTTCTGTCATGTCAGGTTTTCTCTATTTATAGAGTTAACAAGATAATAGACAAAACTTGCATTTTATTCTTATGTTTTATTTTTAGCCAAGTCGGCCATGTTGATTGCCAGGCGGGGTCATCAGACACATTTTTTTAAATAAGATACCCTAAAGATGATTGTGGTCAAGTTTGGTTAAATTTGGCCCAGTAATTTCAGAGGAGAAGATTTTTGTAAAAGATAATGACGACGACAGACAACGGGCGACGGACGCGAAGTGATGAGAAAACTTACTTGGCGCTTTGGGACAGGTGAGCTAATTAAAACAAGAGCCTGAGTCGCTCACCTGGATTTTTTGTGTAGATTTTGCAGCAATGATTATTTTGCTGTTAAATATATATTAATGTGTGTATAAACATGCTATTTAAAGTTTCTCTCTATTATAGTTTCTGCAAAAAACTAAAAAAAAAAAGGTAAAAATCATCTATTAAGGGCAAGAACTCTTTAATATAAGGGGTTAATTGAAGTTTCTCTCTATCAATCATAGTTTCCGCAAAATTTAAAAAAAAATGAAAAAAAAATTGTCTTTCAAGGGTTATAACTCCTTTAAGGGTTGAATTGACAATTTTAGTCATGTTGACCTAAATCTTTGCAGATCTTACTTTGCTTAACTTTTTTACCATTCAAAGTTTCCGTCTATATATCGTAGTTTCTGAATAAAAATAGTTTTTCAAGGGCAACAACTCCGTCAAGGGATCAATTGACAAATAAGTTCTTACTTTGCTGAAAATTTTTGCTGTTTAAAATTCCTCTTAATCTTTAATAGTCTTCAAAATAAGAACCAAAAACTGTGAAATTTAATAAAAAATAATTATTATTGCAGGGTCAATAACTCCAAATTGTGTTGTCCGATTTGTTTGAAAATTTGGTAACAAATAGATATTGCTAATTATTTTTACCTTTGTCAGTTTTGCTCTTACTGCTTTAGTTTTTGAGAAAACTGCATTTTATTCCTTTGTTCTATTTTGAGCCATGATGGCCATGTTTGTTGACTGTCCAGAATAAAATACACAAACTTTATACTACATATAATAAGGATCATTCACCCCAAGGTTGGTTGAAATTGGTTCAGTATTTTAAGAGAAGATCTTTGAAAAAAATTAACGACGACGACGAAGGACGCCAAGTGATGACAATAGCTCATCTAGCCCTGTGGGCCAGTTGAGCTCAAATATAGCAAAAGGTAGTACCAATCAATTGACCGAAAAGATTTCTAAAGTAAAGGCTTTCAAAATTTAAGTATATGTAAGAGAATGATAATCCCTTTCTTCATGAATAAGTACGAGCGTTAGCGAGTACTTATCATGAAGTAAGGGATTATCATTCTCTTACAAACTTAGAATATTGTAAAGTGCTCAAGGCTCAAATGATCTATTCAAGAATTAGTTTCATTGTCAGTGCAATGTTTATAATTGATGCATGACTTCCTTTTTCGGTATGTCATTTATGGATTAGTTTTAGTGATGTGAGGACTTTCTTATCATTTGAGAAATATTTAAAAAAAAAATGCGTTATAGATATTAGATGACACAACAGTAGAAAGAAAAGGTAGGAATTGTATGTTTCTTGATTGTGAGTATGAATGTAAATCATGTAATATTTCAGTGAGGAATTATCCTTTTTTTATTTACAGTTTAAATCAATTAATACATTTGAGTTACAACTAAATTTTATTTCACAGCCAATAATTTGGTCCGGCTTTTTACATCAAATACTGTTTCATTATGTCAGGGAAATGTTCAAAAATAATACCCTTAAAAGTTTTTAATATGTTCAAAATTAAATTTCTGTTTTTTTTTATCGGAATACATGTATTGGAAATAACTATTCTCCCCAACCGCTTATCAAGAAATCAAAGTTTTGGAAAGACAAAGATTTAGGTTATTTTTTATCTGAAAGATTTTTTTCTTTTTTTTTTTGCATTGCTTTGGTATTGTTTAATTTTATAGTAATTTGAAGTTATTAATATTTTCAAAATAAAATTCACGGTACCAATTTTACTGCACCAGTAAACTTCAACTTATTTTGAGATTTTTGTTTGTTTCACAATTCAACTTTTAGTCAGTTTCAATCACTGTGTGATAAATCCTTTCAATCTGATAAATGTGCTTCGGGCAGTTTTAACTCATTTATAGAAACTCTTTGTTTTGAACTGTAAATAGACCCAAATAATAGGATAATCCCTTACTAAGAACATGATTTACATTCATTCTTCACAATTAAGAGGCATCCAATCCTACAATTTCATTGGTCGAGAGTACTTTGCTATATTCTAAAGGTAATAAACACACCAAATGACAGAAAACAATTGATCAGTATTAAATCACTTCTGCACTCACATATCATGAAGTTAATGCTTATTGAACAAACATCGGGGATAACTAATTCTATGTACACACGAAGATGAGTTAATACAACACTCACACAACATTAAATGTTATATGTATATTCTAAACCTCTGGTATCAGCTCAGCAGATAATGTATGCCATCTCTCAAATTTCTGATCTGTAGACTTCAATGTATCAAACCAGTGCTTTAATCTTTCTCCTTTGGAATTAATTCCAAGTTGAACACCACCTATCAAATAAAATAAAGCAGTTATTTTTAAGACAACTGAAAAAGAGAAGAAAAATATACTTATTTGGTAGTAAGAGGTGTCATGGTCTAAACAGATTTTTTGCCAATAGAAAAATTGTGTAATTAAGAAGGATTATTCATACTACAGATTACAGTTAAATAAATTGGGTCAAAAGTTAAGGACCACATACCTGCTTTTGAAAATTAGTTATCTGAATATTTTTGTTTTGATAATTTCTTGGACACTTAAGGCAGTTGAATGAACTTCAATTATACAGAATAGACAAAAACAGAGGAAAATGAAAATGGCATCAACAGACTATGTGTACTTTGTGTCTGTATTTTTATTTGGTTTTTGTTGTGCTTTGTATCGATCTGACGAGTTAAGCCCTTTTCAATTGATTTTCATAGTTTGTTCTTATGTTGTGTAATACCACTGTCCAAGGTTAGAGGAGGGTTGGTTGCCTGAAAACATTTTAAACCATTTTTGTATTTGTCTGTCCCAAGTCAGGAGCCTGTAATTTAGTGGTTGTTGTTTGTTGCTGTATATATCATATTTGTTTTTTGTTTATTGATTTGTACATAAATCAGGCCGTTAGTTTTCTTGTTTGAATAGTTTTACATTTGTCATTTCGGGGCCTTCTATAGCTTCCTATGCGGTACTGGTTTTGCTCATTGTTGAAGGTCGTACGGTGACCTATATGTGTTAATTTCTATGTCATTTGGTCTCTGGTAGAGAGTTATCTTATTGGAAATCATATCACAACTTCTTATTTCTATATTTGAATGCTAATCAAGGCAAAATGAACTAGTGTGACAAGAAGATATAAGATTATTAAAAAACTACTTTTAAGACAAAATTGCATAGGAAAATCAACTACTGTAAATTTAGAAATTATTGCAATGTTTTTATTAATGTGCAAAATGCGACAGTATCAGGTTTGCAATATTAAAGACTTACATTCATGATTTCAGAAGTGATATTCCTTCATAAAATTTTGCAATTGCGTTAGTAAGATTTCACATTTTCTCCAGTGGTCAAGGATTTGCAATAATAAATGTATATCATCTGAGGACTCCAATACAGAGTTAGTTGATGGTTTCAGTCATATTTGAATTTCTATAGATTCTGTATTGCTGACCTATTTTTGCTGTTTAAATTTCCAAGTTTCAAGATAATATTCAAGAAAGTTTTTTTTTTATTCTAAACATCTGTATGATTATTTGACTAAGTTTCAAATTTAATTTACACCCTTCCCAGTCGGAATATAGACCTAACCATTCATGTCAAACTGCCCTCATTAATATCATTGATAAATGGCTACATGAAATTAATAATGGAAATATATATTTTGCAGTACTCCTAGATTTCAAAAACGCTTTCGATTTTATTGATCATGAAATTTTATGCAAAAAAAATGAAATGTATGACTTCCATGACAAAATTGTTGATTTAAAAAAAATCATATTTGAAAGAAAGATCACAGCAAGTCAATATCAGTAATTAATATTCTGATAAAAAAAAATATATAGGTGTTCCACAGGGCTCTATACTTGGTCCCATTTTGTTTTTTTTTGTACATAAATGACCTTCAATTATATATTAATAAAATGCCCCGCAGTTCGCAGCTTGATACGACTGTAGAGGTCGAACCCTGAACAGTTGGGGCAAGTATGAACACACCATTCAAGCTTGATACATTCTGAATTTGGATTGTGATCAAATATTTGACACAGCATAGGTTTCTAACACAAGAACGAATGAGGTCTAAGAACTTGAAAATTTGAAATTGGACATTCTACCATTATGGTTCAAAATCTAAATACATGGTTGGATTCAGCATATCAAAGAACCAAAAGAATTCAATTTTTGATGAAATCAAACAAAATTTAATTTTTGACCATTTGGACCTCATTCTGGACCAATTTGATAACTGGGCCCAAAATCCAAAATCAAATACACACTGAGAATAAGCATATCAATATCCATATACCATACATTCAATTTTTGTTGAAATCAAATAAAGTTTAATTTTGGACCCCGACTTAGACCAACTTGAATACTGGGCCCAAAATCTTTTTTTACATTTTTAGATTCAGCATATCAAGTAACCCCAAGAATTCATTTTTTTGATGAAATCAAACAAATTTTGGACAATTTGGACCTCAATGTGGACCAATTTGATAACGGGGCCCAAAATCCAAAATCTAAATACACGGTTAGATTAAGCATATCAATGAATCCAATACATTCATTTTTTGTTGAAATCAAACATAGTTTAATTTTGTACCTCTATTTGGACCAACTTAAAAACTAGGCCCAAATTCAAAAAATCTAAATACATGTTTAGATTCAGCATATCAAAGAACCCCAAGAATTCACTTTTTGTTGAGATAAAACTAAATTTAATTTTGGACTCTTTGGAGCTTAATGTGGACCAATTTGAAAATGGGGCCCAAAATTAATAAAATGCTCCGCGGGGCGAATCTTAATGCGACCGCAGAGGTCGAACCATGATCAGTTGGGAGAAAATATGGACACTACATGCAAGCTTGGTACAGCTCTGAATTTGGATTGTGATTAAATATTTGACACATCAAAGGTTTCTGACACAGAATGAATGTGGTCAAAGAACTGAAAAAATTGAAATTGGACTTTTACCTATTATGGTCCAATATCCAAAATCTTAATACACAGTTAGATTCAGCATATTCAAGTTCACTAAGAATTTATTTTTTTTATTTATTAATGGACAATATTAGCTAAGTTTTTAAACGGGAACGCTTCGTCATTTTTTTTTTTTATATATATAGCATTCTGAAAATTAATTTTTACAGAATCAATAACAATTCTAATATGACGTCCTATATATCGTCAACCAGTATAATCACAGTATATCTACTTTAAGCACAGACGCATTAATACACAAAATTGACTGTTCCGCGTTACGCCCATATTATAGTGTAACACCACTAATTCGGGCCCGGTCAGAAAGTACACAAAATAGTTCCTACGCATGGGTTTAACTTTCAAAATGTGTAGAATATTTTGTTAATTTTGGTATCAAATGAAAGCTGAAAGACTGGTGATCATTGTAGAACACTTTTTGACTTATAATTGTGAATGATAAAACAAATTTCATGAAATTTAAAAAGGATGGTACATTTTGCCTGTTTGTCAGATCTGAAGTACCTGTTTTGGTACATCCGAAGTTCCGGGAACCAGTTCTCTCTTATATGCAAAAAGTAAAATAACAAAAATACCGAACTTTATGGAAAATTCAAATCGGTAGTCCCTTATCAAATTGCAAAATCAAAAGCTCAAACACATCAAACGAATGGAAAACAATTAAAGGTATGTTGATTTTTTTTTCAGTACAAGACATCATAAGGTGTTGCTTTGGCATGCAATGACTGTCACTTTATTTGAACTTTAAGACAAAAGAGCTGTACCTGCTTGAAATTGAGAAATTTAACATAGAAAGCAATGGGGCTATGAATTAGTGGTCTACTTCCTTTAATATTCATACGACGAGGGCAACTAAATTTTTGACAGTAAAACCCACGTTTAACGTAGGTTAAGCTCTAAATACAATACGGTTATCTCTATTCTAATGAAAAATAAACATATCAGTCCATTTCAGTTATTATTTCGATCAGGAACATATATATTGACATATACTGTTCCCAGTTTCGATGTAAAATGCAATAAAACGATAATTAAGCGAAATGATGTAATCGACCTTGGCAACTAAACAAGGTGGCGTCATATGTATGCTTCCGGCTTCAAACACCAGGCGTTTTCAGGCTTCTTGTACGCCTCAGAATGTAATAAAATTCGATAAAGAACATGTTTAGCAGTCGGAAAGCTGACCCCGGTATGACCCCATTTTTAAAGACAACAATGGAAGTCACGTGACTACCATATTTGGGTATATTTTTTGTCATTTTTTGTTCAACTGAGACGAGTCAGTTACCTTCAAAAAGTCCTATCAAATGAAATCAAAGCATGTTGTACGTTTTAGTTCGTCATTTTCGGGATAGAGAGCTCTTCCTACTTTGGAGGTAAAAAAAGTGCACGTGATCATGTCTCTTTTTGTGACAATCTAAAATTCTATGCAAGTTTAAGGGGCGGGAATGCACAAATGAGGGGATGGACAGGGGGTACCCTTCTCCCACCTCCCACTTTTGGCACTTTTAGAATCTTTTTTTCTCTCCCACCTATTTTTTGTCTCCCACCTCCCACCTCCCTCAATAGCTGTCCACCCCCTTACAAATGTCAAGTCGCCGGAAACCTAAACACTCCACTGGTGTGTAGTTCCAGGCTGTACATCGGACAGCAGAAAGAAAGAGAATATCCTAAAATATCCATGGATGGAAAATGTAACATTTCACGCATTTCCAACCACCAAAAAGTACAAAAGATTACGTTTGAAATTGTCTTGTTTCAGGTGTACAGGAGCATTTAATATTTACATGGCCATTACTCAAAGTTTTCATAACAACATTGTCAACATGTCTCCGCATATACAACTGGTAGCCATTGTCATTTTTGTATGAATTCAGTCTGTCGTTGACCACATACAGGTTGTCATTAAATACACAAAAATGTCCCCCATTTCAATTGTCGGAAGAGTGGTGAGGTTATTATCCCAGTCACTGATGGAAAAAATATCCGGAAGAATAACTTTTTTGCCATCTGGTGTCTCAACTGTGCGGCGGTTTTGACGGCCAGAATGGTAAGTTTCAATATAAGCGGGAGGTTTTGGCTAGCCATAAAACCAGGTTCAACCCACCATTTTTCTTGAAATGTCCTGTACCAAGACAGGAATATGGCAGTTGTTATCAAATAGTCCGTTTCTATGTATGTTGGCATTTGTTTTTGTTTCAGTTCAGTGTTTCTGTTGTTCCGTTGTTTTAATTAAACGTACTGAATTAGAATACGAAACCTTCAAACCACAGGCACTTGTTTCTATCCATGGGAAGACCTTCCTATGGAT